CACTGATGACGAACGTGCTCAGGAAATGGAGCGGCTTGCTGAAGACTGTGCACGAGCCTGGGAGGTGACTGAGCTGTGGAAGAAGAGAGTGAAGGCAGTTGAATTGGAAGCAAAGGCCAAACTGGCCGAAGTACGATGTGCAGTTCTTTTCACCCTAGAAAGGAAGGAGTGGCTGATCACCCGCACAGGATCATGCTACCATTCCCATGAATGCAATCACGTGGTGAAGAGTGCCAACGTGAAGCATTTGAAACCGTGCGCTTACTGTGTGCCGCCAGCCATAGGGGCCGTGTTAGCTTCACCAGGAAGTTCACTGTCAGGCATCACACAGTAGGTTCACAAGGTTTCTACTCGACGACGAAGGCCCAAACCGAGCTGGAAAATACGGCTCCACTTGTTTTCAAAACTTGCTCGTGCGATTGCTGATCTGTGTTTCCGCCAACTGGTCCGTGTTAGTTCTGTTCCCGGGTGTTTTGCTTGGAAGTAAGCGCTTGTGGCTGGAACGCAGTTGCTCCACTTCGGCGCTAGCGCACTGTGACTCTAACCCTTTCCTGACGGTTCTATGGTTCTATGTTGCATGATTCTATATATATGGAACCATGTGGGACCGCAAAAGAAAAATTATGTGGTGCAGTGCATATCACAGCTTTCATCACAGGGATATCGAGAAAACACCAGTGTAAATAAGTTGCCCTGGCCGTGTAGGGTGCAGGATGGTTAGGTTCTGATGTGATGGACGGACAAAAGTAGTGCCATTTTATGACTAATGGGCTTCAAACATGCACAATACAACCCAAACAACGGAGGAAGGATGTGTTGCCACAAGGTGGATGCATTGACGATGTGGTACAATACGCACGGCGCAAGCGGTAGGGTATCAACATAAATTGAGCCAGGGATAATATGTCCCTAAACTTTCGTGACACTTGGAGAACCCTCCAAATTAAACGTCAAAATCCAATTAAAACGAACAACGGACAGTCATATTTTTAGTTCTGTCCGTGAGCAGGGAAGGGGCTCAGTTTTGACGTTTTAAATCGGGGATGTCCACAAAATATGATGTTTCTCTCAGCAGCTTGCGTTTTGCGCCTTAATGGGCAAAAAAACAAGAAACATGCAATGTTTCAAACAATAGCGTGCAATAACATGGAACGAGATTGGCAAATCACATGTTCCAAACTGGATGGGGATGATTGCTCTCCTCTCTCAAGCAAATGCAAGGTTTACGTTTACTCCAGTTATCACCATTCTGGAAGAAACTTTGTAATATGAACTTCCTGAAAACTTTGCCTGGAGGGTTGGACAAGCTCAAGCGGTTCCAGCGCCTTGGTTGCACAATGTCTCGCAGGATGAACTCCTGTTGGTCTCAAGATGTTTCAGTCAGACGCTGCGCAGGCTTCGGCAGGGACTCTTCTACGGCGCCTGAAGTGGCCGTGATTTTGAATTTGGCTGGCCCTTTTGTGGAGCAAACAAACAAAGCCAGGCTAACTTTGCCCACATCGAAACTGTTCAGTTGGGCATAACTTGACAATGAAGCGCATCAACAACAACCAGCAAACCAACATCAACCAACCAACCAAAACAACAAGAAACGACACATCAACAACATCAGCAACAAAAACAAAAACAAGTAACAAACACAAACTGCAAACTGCAACCCGCCCACCACGTATCACATATTTTCTTCCTTTGTCTGTACACAGCATTGGCAAGCCAACAAGTGCTTGTACCAATGGTAGTAGTGGTGCTAGTGGTAGAGTACTCGTTCCAGTGGTGTAGTAAAATAAGTCCCTACGTGGTGGTGGTGGTGAAATGCCTTCGTCACATTTGAGGGCTCAGAAGCTACTTGATTTCTTTATTGCTCATTGCAAAAGCTACTGACTTAGTCTTAAAGTTGAATCTCCGTCATCCACTGCCCCTGTGGAAACGCAACCATTTCACCATCCTTTCGCTTCCACCTGTTTCTTTGTACGCGCGTCAAAACACCGTACTTACTGCGCTCCTGTCTTGTCGGCGCTTAAAGCCTAAGTCACGCATTCCATTTCAGCGGCTTTGCGTGGGTTGTGCGTTGGTTTTTGAGACAGGCAAACGTCCTACGTCACAGACCCCACACATGAGTAAGAGAGTCCACAACAGTCCATGACATACGACTAGTGCAAAGGACAAAGACATGGCGACCTTCCTATAACATGTTCTCTATCCTTAGCTCAATCTTCCAGGAAGAGGACCAAAAAAACAATGAAACGGGTCAAACTAGCCTATGTCATGAACGTCTGCCATTGAAATGGCCAATTTTACACATATACATGACTTAGGACTTTCCCTGGCAAAACTGTATGTCATATCGGACCACTTTGGCCTGAGTCATCTGACCCCAGTATATATGTTTCCCTGCGCGTGCGCGCAAGGCCCTCTCCATCAAGGTCTGTGCATTTTTTCGCCATGTCGGCTCTTGCCTTCATCAAAAACAATGTTTGCTGATCAAGAACGTCAGAGCTTACCGACTCGTCGACAAAGACTTTGTCAAGGCCACTTGCAATAGGAGAGTGCGTCTCACGCAACACTGCCCAGGCATCAAGCAGGATCGGAAGCCATGCTGTACGCTGGAGCAGCAACACGGGAGGGTCCCCAGAACTGAGACCAAATTGTTTGCACAGCGTGCGCGGCGCACATGTTAAAAAGGGTTGTCACCACTGGCCAGAGATGTAGCTTTCCACGCGCGAGAAATGCAAATGAACCACGCCATCATCAAGAAGAAAGCTTGCGTGGGCGGTTTCCACTTGTATGTCGTCGGGACATTGACAAATGATGTCACCTTTGGCTTTCTGACACTATGGCCAAAAACGTTGGTCGCTGTAGCGTCCAGGTGTAATGCGTCTGTTTCCAGGCGCGGTTGCTGTGCAGTTGCAGGCCGCGCGAACTCCTTGCGCGTCCCAAGCACTGCGCGCTTTAAAGCTGCTGCGTCGGCTGTTTTGATGGGTGAACTGGCGCGTTCCACTCGAGTGCGAGCTTTGCCCGAAATAGCGTCAGCCAAGACTTGGTCCTCGTGCCAAGCCACTGTTGACCCGCCATTGTAACTGTCTGCGAGCGGGCCGCGCAGTCTTGCTTTGTCGGCAAAGTTGCGCCCCTTTTCAATCAAGAAGTGCGCGCTTTGGAGAACATATTGTTGTAGCGATCTATTACAGTGTGGACGCCGCAGCGGTCCGTGCAGATGTCTTGGCTGCTGGCAGAAAACATCGCCTATAGGCAGAAAAATTGCGACGCCCTTGGTTTGAGCTCCGTGAATGAAGCAAGCTGCCCACTTTTTGCCGGAGAGCCAAGCGCACGTTTTGCGCGCTTCCAAGCAGGATCGCAGCGCAAGGAGAGTGTCCCTCCGTATCCAAGGCGCTCTCTCTCTCTCTCCAATGCAAGGCGCCGCAACCACGCACGGAGAGGAGAAGAAGCGCAAGGCGCCAGGGCCGGCGGCAGCAACTGTTTATATTGGCCCACAGGAGCCAGTAGCTGCAAACCAGTGGCCGCGGAGCGCTTTGCGCTTGGCTTTTTGCAGTTGCGATTCTGCCACTTGGCCTTGAAAGGTGTTCTGTCGCGCGTGGTGTGGAACCGAACGAGGAGGCTGAGACCGAGCAAGGGTTTTGCGCTTGACCCGCCGCTGGTAGAGAACTGCAAGGCTTGCGTCTTGCAGTTCTGTCTTATTAACTTTATCTCTGCACGAAGCCTAAGTCATGAGCGGCCTCGGCGCCAAGAGTTGTAGATGGACAAGTTCGTCAACTGCGAGCCGTCATGCCTTTGCTTCAAAAAGCAGGCAACGGGGTGGGCTAAAAAATTGACCTTTGCGCAGGGAGCCAACACTCCGTTTGTCTAGGACGTTGGACCCTTACTTCTCCGCAAATGCGTGTGTCCATGATTTTTCTTCCAGGCAAGCGCTATGGCCGTCAAGCAGAAGGCGCCGTCAGGCCCTTGGCTGGGCTCATGGCGGCGAATGGATTGCTCCTCTTGAAGAATAGGCTGCCCAGCAAATCAAATCAAAATACCGGTCAGGGTCAGAAGCAGCTGTTCGAGCATTCTGCGTCGAGATACCACCCTTGCGCAAGGTTTCGATGGCAGGATGTTAGACGGTCAAGCAAGCCGGCTGAAATACCACAAATTGAGGAGAATATGGAGATATGAAAGCGGCCCAGAAGACCAAGTCTTCCGAGAAACCAGGAGCAGGGTATCAGCTGCTGAGCTGGGAAGCCAGGCCGGAGATGCCCCCGTAGCGCGAGAAATGACCGCTTTTTCATAGAAAGCCCACGCGCATGTGCGGCTCACGCCTTCAGCGCCAGCCTAAGCCGGCAACAACAACAGCAACAGCAACAACAATTAGGAATAGTAAGACTATAATAATAAGAAGAAGAACAACCATAACAAAAGCAAGAACAGCAACAGTTGTTACAACAACAACGACGACGACGACGACGACGAAGATGCTTTTGAACACATTCGTCCCAGCTGAGGCAGTGACATTGCTGTACTCAAGCTCGGCTTACATGGCACTGTTTTTTGCAGCACCGCATAGCCATGTAATTAACTTGCCTCTTTGGTCTTTCCATATTCTATACCTTTCTGTTCTCTCAACTTGCCTCTGATACAACTTCAATAGGTCTTCATATGAAACGTAAAGTGCGTTCAAGTTGGCCCAATTTCTATATTTCGGCCCAAACTAGACAGATGGTCCAATGGTCCTGAATAATTGTACAACGGCGTATCTAGGGTCCGCTAAAACATCGCGCTCTCAAAGCCCAGTGAATGGATGGTCAATCCCATATTGGCCTTGTCGGTATCCAAGTGCTGCCTAGCTCCTAAGTGCTTCACACTCAAACATTCCAAATGACACAAGCCGGATACAGTAGTTCCAATTACCATGAGACAGGATTTGGCTGACTCAATGGCTGCAGCGCCAACAACGCGCAACGTGCTATGAGGCCATGTGCGAGAGCTCAATATATTGATTGCGCCGAGCAATTTTTTTACACGTGCCAGCGCGACTCCCGGACCAGTTGCCTGTCACGCCACATAAGACAATTATACAACTGCTCTAAGTCTGGGCTTGGTATGGCTTGGTCCTGTTGCGCACTGCAGGCACTCGAAGGCGCAAGAAGTCATAGCTTGATGCGAGGGACACGGACAAGGCGAGCACAGGGATGTCAGAACTGCAAACGTAGTTTTGTTCACCGTATTGAGCTGGTCGGCGCAAGCATCTTGGTATCACGGCTCCTAGCAATGCCGCTGCAATCCCCACCGTAGATCTTACCCTCGCAGCACAGGATATCGTCAGCCCCTGCTTTCCAAGTAAAGTTTTTCTGCGCGCCATGCCCGACCCACTCTCGTATGTGTTGCGGTCGCTGCCTTAGGCTGCCTCGTTTAAAACCTCCGTCTGCTCCAGGCGCTTCACAGTGACTATCCATGGTTCTTTCACACAGAGCCAACATGGTCTCCTGCATTCATCGCCTTCGATCTTCATTGCACTTCGTTTGGATCAAGTCTCGGCAACATTAAATGGGCTTGCGTCCCATAGCCAGGATAGGAAGTGAGCGAAAGCCTTCCGCCGAGATAGCGCGCGTATAAGCGGGCACAAGGAAGCCCAACCCCATACCCGGTCAAGTTCTCGGGATTTCCAAAGCCTTCTGGTTTGGTTCCAATTTTTGCAGCGGTGCCGTACATGTAAGACCAGATTTGGTCCCCAACTTCAAAGGGAATCCCACCAGCCTCATCGCTGACTATGATTGCAACAGTGTGGACATCTCTACACACCCGAATGCGCACTGGACGTTTGCTCATGTCATCTTCTGATGATGTGAGGAGCGTTGCCCGGAAACTGTTCTTCAATAGCTCGCACATGATGTACCGCAAGTAGCTGGGGATCAGGCTGAAATAGCAAGGGGAGTTGTCTTGCGGTCCTACTCTTCCAGCCTGCAAGCAAGCGCTCTGGGAACACCAAGGGTAAACAAGAGCAGAATACCCGTCAGCGTTAACTTCTACTGCTCCGTCCTCGACTCTTGTTGCGGTCAGCAAATAAATGCTGGCTTCTTGGGAGGGCGTGCGTCGGAAAGGATCTCATCCAAAGAAAATGCATGAGCGCATATTAAGCTAGCAATGAATAAAGCAGCTTAGTCTAAGCAAGATCTTTCAGTGCGGACGCGATATAGTTCTTCAACTAGTTCCGCCTAAAAAAGATACAGTGGTGAAGTCTCTTCGCAGTTGCCCACTTCTAGCCCCAAGTTGCAAAACGGAATGCATTTTGCATTCAATGGAAAGATCCAACGTTGAGACTCTGCATCAAACTGGAATGGTACATGTGACATGTGTTGTGTTTGGTATCTTGAAGTCTGCGCGCAATATGCAAGTCTTCATGCGGTGGCAATTGCGTCAGCGTCGTTTTTTCGGTTTTGTCTCGGAAATACAATATACCCCTTGCTATATATATATATAAATATAATATACACAAACAAGCATATTACGTGTATATGTACATGTACATAGTGAAATATTGAGTATATATATATATAAAAACTATATCGTATATGAAAACCATAATACGTATGTATGTATGTATGTATGTAGGTCTTGCCTAATAGCTGTAACAGCGAGCACAAACTAGAGCACCAAACATGCACGGTGAAAAACGCCAAGAAGCACTCCCACCCAACCAAGAGATGCGATGCTTTTTGGCCCTGCTTGACCAAAGTTGTCCCACTTGTCGCGGCCTGCCAGGAGTGAACATTTGCCAAGAATGACCCTACACTTGTCCAAGCTGCAAGAATTCTTGCGCAACTTATACAAAAACAAAAGCACACTTGGTGCTGCGTGTTTGGGCTTTCCAAGTCCAGGGCTTCAAAGAAGGTGATTGAACACAGAAGATTACTTTTTTGTGAATTGTCATGGCAAAGAACTTGCTGTCTTTGACCTATTGTTGTTCATGGTTGCTCTTACAGTTACAGTCTTAAATGTTACAACCTTGCGTTTCCCTGGCGCTTGGGCTAGATCCCTAGACCTTTTTGGTCCGTCAAATCTGAGCCAGCCAAAATCTGAGCACAAAAAGGACTTGCCCCAACTAGCATTCCTACTCCGTCCTACTTGCCACCTTGCACGCCTTAAGATAACCAAAAAGCCGGCGTGCTGCGGTGCGCTGTGCAGGCAATTGAACTTTCCACATGCTGCGGTGCGCTGTGCAGGTTGTAGTGCCTAACCCGTGGCCTTTTCAATCTTCAGCTTTGGTCACTAAGCTGTGGCCTTGTCAAGTGGAAAGGGGAAAGGGTTGCTGCCAGGCTTTGGCCCCTGGTGGCCAACCTTGCGCAAGGAAGGCAAGAAAGCAGGGGCAACGAAGGCAAGGCGCAAGGAAGGCGGTAGGGGTTCTGGTGGCAAACCAGCGGCCTTTTGAAAGAACTTTGCATAAGGGATGCAAAAATTGAAATGGTGTTGCGTGGCTTCTAGTGGTTTACTTGACGCTGCTGGCTTCTAAAGGAAAACTGGCAGCGTGGAACAGGTGTCCTCTGGAAAAGGAAAGCTGGCACAGGGGGGCCAGGCTTAAGGGATACTGAAGCTGAAGGTATGCAGTGTTACTTGTCAGCTTCTGAAAGAAAATGGCCGAGGCTGAAGCAGGAAAGGACTGGTGAGGCTTCTGGGTTCCAACTTGCGCAGCCTAACCTGTGGGTTGGTTGAAAGGGTGCAGCAAAGGGCTGGTGCGGCTTCTGGTGTCCAACTTGAGAGGTCTAGCCTGCTTGAAAGAAGGCTAGTGGGTAACGGTGGCTGTGAGGTTTCTGGTTTCTCATGGCTTGCCTTTGCCCTTTGACAAGAAAACTCCTGGAACAAGGGTTGATGTGATGTGAGGACTGTTCAAGACTGTTCAAACAAAACTCCGATGTGCCTCGCTGTCAATCTTTGGCTTTCCAGAAAACCTCGCGCCACGGATGCAAAGAAGCAATGGGTTGGCATGAGATTTCTGGTGGTCAACCTGTGGCCTTTGAAAGAATCCAGCGCCAATGAGAGAGCAGGGTTGCTGTGAGGCTGGGCCCCCTTTTGAGAAGCTGCTGGGCAGCAAGGCTTGTGGCCTCTAGAGTCTAAACTATAACCTGTTGCTGTTGCCTGCTTTGAAAGAATCAGCCACCAGAAGGTTGAAGTGGAAAGAGTTGCTGTGAAGCCTCTGGTGGCCAACCTCTGGTCTTTTACCCCTGGTCTTCTGGGGCTGGGGACATACTGGCCTTTTGCTGAGCCTGCGGTGCCTCTCAAAGGCTGTTTTGCTTCTTCTGGCGGCTATCCTGGCTATCCTGCTGCTTCTGGTGGCTGGCCTGGCCGAGGCTGGCCTGGGCAAGGAAAAGAAAAAGAAACAATCGGAATTTGAGAGGATGGAATGTTTGCTGGGAGCATCTGGCAGCTCCTGCGCTAACACTGAGCACGAAGGGCGCGGACAAAAAGCACGAACTGAGGCACCATTTTTGCACGGAGGGCGCGCGCA